CTATCTATCTATCTATCTATCTATCTATCTATCTATCTATCTATCTAATGTATGTGAGTACACTGTTGCTCTCTTCAGACACACCAGCAGAGGCATCAGATCCCATTACAGATGGCTGTCAGCTACCATGTGGTTGCTGGGAATTAACTCCGGACCTCTGGAAAAACAGCCAGTGTTCTTAACCGCTGAGGCATCTCTCCAGCCCCAGCAAGTTGCTTTTTAATGTGGTAACCTCAGAGAGTCATCTTTGGGCTGGTGAGAAGGACAGGACTTTACACAGAGAGCTGATAGTGGCCCATAGAGAGAACAAGACCAAGCACTTGACTGCACTTAGCTCTGCCAGGACTTAGCCTAGCAGTTAACAATTGAAACACAGGGACACACCTTCATACATCGTGGGGGAAGGTCATCCTAGCACTCAGCCTTAATTTTGAGGGGCTAGGGTAGAGTATGCGAATGCCATGGAGTATGGAAGTTGGCTCTCTCCTCCCACTAAATGGGTCCCAGGAGTCAAACTCAGATCATTTACCTTCTTAACCACCTCACTGCTCTCAGCTTTTCCTTCTTTCAAGATTTATTTTCTATCTATCTATCTATCTATCTATCTATCTATCTATCTATCTATCTATCTATCTATCTACCTACCTACCTACCTACCTACCTATGGAGCTCACATGTGTGTAGGTGGCCACAAAGGCCAGAAAAGAGTGTTAGACCCCTAAAACTAAAGCTATAGGTAGGTGGATCTGAACTTGGGAGAGTGTCAAGCACACTTAACTGGTAAACCATCTCTAGCTTCGTTTATTTTTAAAGAGAAATAATATAGCTCTTTTTTTTTTTTTGGTTTTTCTAGACAGGGTTTCTCTGTGTAGTTCTGACTGTCCTGGAACTCACTCTGTAGACCAGGCTGGCCTCGAACTCAGAAATCCGCCTGCCTCTCCCTCCCAAGCGCTGGGATTAAAGGCGTGCGCCACCACCACCCGGCTATAATATAGCTCTTAATCATCTAAAATAATACCAGTTGTTGAAGTACTAACCTGAAATGCTCGTCTCTGTGCACAAAGCCCCACATCCATCCCCTCCCAGGGCAGAAGTGCTGCTCTCCTGTTGAGTGTAGAGATTGGTGTGCAAAGGTATAGGCCATGGGCTGGATGGGCTGCAGAGCTGGCGCAGTGGAGGACGTCACCAGCTGCTCCTGTGGTCCTCAGATTCAGTCCCCACCACCTGTGACTGCAGTTTTCTAGTGACTTCTGCAGACATCAGACACCCGTGTGCTGCACAGACACACATGCAGGCACACATCTGTGTGCTGCACAGACACACATGCAGGCAAACACACCCATTGAGCAACTGCTCCATACTGAGTAAGAAGAAACTATAACTTTCAAAAATGAGGCTGAGTCTTGCATTTGGGTGATGGCTGTTCTGAGACACTGGTAAGGGTCGGGGGCACTCTCTCAGCAGGGAGTGCTCACCCTGCTCTGGAGGGCAGTGAAGAGGGCAGGAACAATGTTGAACCAGGGGCAACTCCATGTAAACCAAAGTAGCAGAAGATGAGAGTGGTTCCACCAAGCCCAGCACCACCTTCCGCACGCCTCAGCAGGTCATGTTCACGGCACCTTCAGGTCAACACTGAACACTAACTAGTGTCCAGTTACAGCCGGTAACTAGGAGACTGTAGGACGGGGAGCTGTGAGGCATGGAGGCCGTGGAAAGGAAGTGCACTGTGGCTCTTGGTGAGCTAAAGAGAATCCCTAGAGGAGGTCGCCAGAAGCAGGTCTGAGGTGCTTTGCTGCGAAGGAGTCCGGACAGCAAGGCCTCTGTTCGCTGCTCGGGTCCTCCAGTCAGTCGGTCGGAGTGCTGAGTCCCAGCAGCTGTATGTAAACTGAGTACCAGTTAAGGGGAAGGAACCATTGTGGCTGTCCCCTCTGTTTCCTTCCTGTGGATGGCTTCGTAGTTTTAGCTCCAGCTAGTTTTAGCTCCAGCGCTGAACCACCTCCTCCCACCAGCTGCAGAGCACTTCTGAGGGGCTGGAGGAACCAGCACGCCTGTGCCCATCTAAGCTACCTTTCTCTCCCTCCCTAGATTACCATCTGGACTTGAACCACAGTGAGGCCTTTCCCCCAACTACGACGTTTCTTCCTGAAGATTTCACCTACTTTGCCAACCACCCTTGCCCGGAGAGGCTCCCTTCCATGAGTAAGTAGCTCCAGCTTGCCTCCTCTGCTCTGGGCAGGTTTGTTTCTGTTACTCTGGAAGGGAGAGAGTGACCAGTGGGCATCCCTGCCTCTTTGGATAGTGAAATGGCTCCCTGTCCCAGGAGTTGGGCTATGGGAATTCCTTATTACCCAGCTCCTCCTGGCTAACCCTGCTGCTGCCCCATATGCTTGGTGGTGCTGTGTTCGGCCCATGAGATGATCCTTGTAAGATGTCCTAAGGACAAATCTGGGCGCTGGCTGTGTCACTTTGGCATCTCAGTTCTCTGGGGTTTGATGGAGGAGCTCTCTCCCCACCTTCCTTCTTGTGTCTCTCTGTTTTCTGCTCTGTCCCACTGCGCTGACCCTCACTTCCCTCCCACTGCACTTATGCCTGGATAGTTACTACAAGTTCTTTTCTTTTTCCTTAGTATTTTAATTAGATTTTCATTATTTTATGTGTACAAGTGTTCTGCCTTCGTATGTGACTGTACACTCCATGTGCTGGTGCTTGAGGTGGTCAGCCTCCACATGGGAGGCTTCTGGGAACTGAACTTGGGTCCTTTGCAACAAGTGCTCCTAACCACTGAACCAGCTTTCCAGCCCTAGAAGTTATTTTCTTAGCAAAATACTGTTTGCTTTTTTTTTTTAAATAGGGCTGGAGAGATGGCTCAGTGGTTAGGAGCACTGACTGCTCTTGCAGGGGTCCTGGGTTCAATTCCCAGCAACCACACGGTGGCTCACAACTATCTGTAATGGGATCTGATGCCCTCTTCTGGTGTGTCTGAAGACAGCAACAATGTGCTTACATAAAACAAATAAATAAATTAAAAAAGAAAAAACAATTACAGCCATGCATGGCGGCCACGCCTTTAGTCCCAGTGGTAGTGCTCACGGCTGTCTTGGAATTCACTGTGTAGACCAGGCTGGCCTGGAACTCTCAACGATCCTCCTGCCTCTGCTTCCTAAGGGCTGGAATTAAAGCCCCTGTGCCTGGCTTCCCTAGCACTGATTGCCATGATGTCAGCTTTTGGGCTTTGAGTGTGGCCACTGTTTAGTCAGAGTCCCTGCTCACTGGAGGAGGTGAGACAGGCAGCCAAGCCAGCTGTGCTGCTCCTGCTCCTCCCTGATGAATTGAGCAGCCACTTCGGAAGCTTTCCAAAGGACCAGCGTAGATTGAGAAGTGAAGTAGGAGCTCCCGGCAGCAGGGTGGGGTCTGGAGAAAGAGTCGCCTCACCTCAGTTTCAAAGTCTTTGTTTCTTTCTCCACCTTGGCAGAAGCAGGTCTCTAAGGTGGTGTCCCTTCAGTATGCTTCCTTGCCAGATGGTTGTGACACACTAAAGGGCAGAGAGATGGGCGAGCGAGCTGCTGGTGAGAGTGCTAACTGTTCTCCTCCCTCTCTGTGCAGAGGGCCCGATAGAGATAAACATGAGCGAGGTCAGAATGGACGACATCCACGAGCTTTTCTCCAGAGACCCGGCCATCAAGCTGGGCGGGCACTGGAAGCCTGCAGACTGTGTGCCTCGGTGGAAGGTGGGCTGTGAGTCAGACCCGGGTGCTGGAAACCCGTCTGGGCTTGCCAGGGCCCAAGAACCATGACATCAGGGATCTTGCACCCTGCCTCTCGTTCTCGAGAATGCTTTCCTCCAAGGATTGCTGTAGCCATAGAGACATCAACGCCCTGATGTTGTCTAGGGGCGCTGAACCCCTTTGTTCCCAGGCAGGATTATGTGCAGGAGGAAGGGCCAGTAGGTCAGCTGACAGGTTTGTGGACTGTGCATCTGCAATCCTCTTGCCTGGCCTCCCAGCTTACCAGAGGATGCGCACAGTGAGGCTCTCCAGCGGGACACGTAGGCCTCTGCAGGATGACTGTATTGCGAGAGAGACAGCAGCTTACAGTCATTCTCTGAGCAAGTGTTTGATAAAGTGCTTGTGTGTTGCTGGCCCTGTGAAGGGAAGGGTCTTGACACAAGCCAGGGATAAGCTTAGTGCGGTGGCAGCAGGTGTCCACAGAAGCAGTCGGAATGAGCTGTGTGCAGCTTTGCAGAGCTTTGATCACTTGGTATTTGCACACCTCTGGAGGGACTTTTGTGCTGGGTCACCATGGGTATATATAACTCCTAGAGCTGCTGTCTAGACAGGATCCAGGTAGTTCCAGGGTAGCCTTGCCTGCACAGGTCAGTGTTAAAGGATGTCAGGGCAAGAAGAGGAGTCTCTTAGTGTTCCCCAAGGGTTGCACATCCAGGGGTACACAGCTTTGTAGCAATTCAGAGAACTTACTGGGGAGCTGGAGCCAGCAGCTGACTGACTCCCTCTCCTGTGATGCACTGCAGGTGGCCATCCTCATCCCTTTCCGGAACCGCCATGAGCACCTCCCTGTCCTCCTGCGGCACTTGCTCCCCATGCTTCAGCGCCAGCGGCTGCAGTTTGCCTTCTATGTGATCGAGCAAGTGAGTGGTCTGCAGACCCTTTCTCTTTCTTTCTCCTGAGCCTGAAATCTAGAATGGTGCAGGTGACTGGCTTCAGTGTCAATAACCCTGTGAGCTGGTCCCTCCCACATCAGTCATTTATCAAGAAAGCGCTCTTCAGCCAGGCAATGGTGGCGCACGCCTTTAATCCCAGCACTTGGGAGGCAGAGGCAGGTAGATTTCTGAGTTCAGGGCCAGCCTGTTCTACAGAGTGAGCTCCAGGACAGCCAGGGCTATACAGAGAAACCCTGTCTCAAAAAACCGAAAAGGAAAAAAAAAAAAAAGTGCTCTTCAGACCCACCTACAGATCAGTCTCAAGGAGCTGTTTTCTCATCTGAGTCCCTCTTCCAACTTTCCTCTCAGCTGTGTCAAGTTGACAAAAACCAACCATCACTTCCTTGTGCCTCTCTTGAGTTATGGTACTGGCCAGGGTAAGTGAAGGTTAATATGCAGTTCAACTAGGCCATAACTAGTGTAAACTAGTCTCTACCTGCCACAGAATTCTTAATCCTCAGGTCCCCTACGTCTTCTGTGGCTGTCTTCAGCTGCAGCACATGCTGATGCACTGCTCTCTGAAGAAACATGGCCCAATTCAGCCGACTCCCCGATGACCATGGCTGAGCAGTGCTGTCCAGACTCCATGGTCTGGACATGGTCCCCAGGTCTTTCCCTGTGGCTTCTAGGAGCCCTTTTGGTGTGTGGAGAAGGCAGTCAGGTTTTTGCTTAAGGAACACGTTGTTCTTTCAGGTTGGCACCCAGCCCTTTAACCGAGCCATGCTTTTCAACGTTGGTTTTCAAGAAGCCATGAAGGACTTGGATTGGGACTGTTTGATCTTCCATGATGTGGACCACATACCTGAGAGTGACCGGAACTACTATGGCTGTGGACAGATGCCCAGGCACTTTGCAACCAAACTGGACAAGTACATGTACCTGTGAGTGCCTCCTCCTCCCTAAGGCCAGTCTAAGCTGTGCCAGCTGATGCAGTGTGGTCCTGGGAACAGAGCTTAGCAGTGAGCAGGCGTAGGGCCAGTTGTCACCATTTTGCTCACTGTGGAAAGTGGGCTATATTGTGACTGTGGTGTGTGAAGTGGTGTGAAGTGTTAAGTGGGGTATATTGTGACTGGGGGTGTGAAGTGTTAAGTGGGGTATATTGTGACTGGGGGTTTGAAGTGGTGTGAACTGAAAAGTGGGGTATATTGTGACAGGGGGTTTGGAGTGGTGTGAACTGGAAAGTGGGGTATATTGTGACTGGGGTATGTAGTGGTCGTGTGGTGACAGCCCGTGGTGGTGGTGGTGGAGTAACTGAACACTGACTGTGGCCTTGGTTGGACGTTGAGTGAGTTCCGTGCTGGTGCTCATTGTCCAATGAGGTTGTCGCGAACCAATTCGCAGCCTAAGGTGCTGCTCAGTCCCCTTGTTCGGCTGGGTGAGCCTCTAAGTTCCATCCCCAGCATTGGAGGAAAACAAAGACAATTTCATGAGGAAATTCTAGATCTAGATCTCTAACCTGGCTGGCCGTCCTTTTCAGGCTACCCTACACAGAGTTTTTTGGTGGAGTGAGCGGCCTGACTGTTGACCAGTTTCGGAAAATCAACGGCTTTCCCAATGCCTTCTGGGGCTGGGGTGGAGAAGACGACGACCTGTGGAACAGGTACACACCCCACCCACCCCCGAACCACCCACCCTGGCACCACCCAGTCTCCTCATGGAGCAGGACCCACATGTGTCACTTAGCACCCTGCAGCCACATTGGAAAGCTCACAGAATGACGTTTCCGCATGCAGTCTGTGTAAGGCCGAGGGTAGTTCCTGCCCCTGTACCTTTGCATGCTCATACCCATCCAGCTTTTGTCCCCTGTGAGCAGCCAGCACCTGCACAGCCTTCCTGGACTGAGCTCTAGGGGCGGCTGCCTTATTTTCTTTCATGATGGAGTTGAATATTGGAAGTCAGATGAATATTTGGAGTTTGTTTTTAAAATTATACAGCTATAACATTAAACACCATTTGAAAACCTTCTAACTCACACTAAAACATAATTACTACGCACCATTAAGGCAACTCCACATTTTCCCCTTTGACATGTAAGAATAAACAAAATAACAGCTTAACACCTTTTTTTATACAATGAATGTGGGGCCTGGAGAAATGACTCAGCAGTCAGAGTTCTAGCACACACCGCTTCCCCAGAACACCTAGGTTTGGTTCCCAGCTGTGTGTAACTCTAGCTCGGAGGGAGGATCCATTCCCCTCTGTAGGCACCTATTGTCACATGTGTGTGCGACACACACACATGTATAAACATACACAGAATTAAAATTTTAAACATTAATTTGAGGCCAGAGAGACGGCTTAGTGGCTTAGACTCTTGCTCCTCTTGCCAAGGACTTGGGTTCAGTTCCCAGCACCCACATGGCAGCTCACAACAGTCTGTTATAACTCCAGTTCCAAGGGATCCTATGCTTTCTTCTGACCTCCAAGGGCACCAGGCATGCACACAGTGCATGTACATGTATGCAGACAAAACAGTCATATACATAACGTTTCCTCAGACCTATAATTTCAGCCCCTAGGAAGCTGTGGAGGAGAGTTCTTCAAATTCACAGCTAGCCTAGGCTACCCAGGAAGACTCTTGTTCCATAGAACAGGGGAGAGAAGGATGCTTACTGTAAAATCCATAACAATAAAAATAAATTTCCCCAGTCTGAACACCCCAAAACAGCATCATTACCATTTCAGTTTGTCTTTAAACATGGTGAGTGAGTCACCCCAGATGTCTTTGTCAGTTTCCCAGACCCCTAGTGGCAGCGCCTCAGTCTCAGGGTGAGTGTCCCTGCTAGGGTCTTGTGTGGAATACTCTGTGATACTTACATGCCTCCCAATGGTGTGGTCAGTGTCCTCATGTGTGCGGGCGGTGACTAAGCAGACCGTCTCCCTTGCACTGGTCCTTAGAAAAGATGCTAGAGGTGAAGTTGGTCAGAATGGAATGCGTTGAGGCTCTGGGGCCGTGCTAACAACTCCTCCCCATGTTTCCTGTGGCTCTCTGTGCTAAGTGGCTAAGTGTGCTAAGTGGTGGAACCTCCCTCCCCAAGCTGAGGTGGACTGCCTGGGGCCTGCTCGGGTGTGTCCCTGCAGTGTTGGGCCTTCCAGTGAACCTGGAATTCATTGATTCTGCCAGGCTAGCACTGAACTCCATGCGGAGAGCTGCCCGTCCCTGTCTCTCCCGCCCAGTGCTGAGGTTATAGACACAGCACTGGGCCAGCGGTTACATGGCTTCCTGGAGACCCAAACTCAAGTCCTCAGTCTTGCAAGCTTGGCACTTTATCACCTGAGATCTTCCCAGCCCCCTCAGACAGAAATGCTAGTTATTCTTCTGCTGAGCGTTCCCTGGGAGTATACCATCCTGTGTTCACATGTGCAAGCATCTCTCCAGATTAATTAACTATCTAGTCCACAGTCAAAACACATTGTGACAGCTACTGGGGTATAGTTCAGGGATGGAACATTTTCCTAGCATGCACTAGTCCTGACTACTCTCTCTCTATCTTTCTCTCCTCCCTCTCACTCTCTTAAAAACAGAGAGAAAGCCAGGAGACAGTTCAGTTGTTAAGTACTGACTTGGATCTGTTTTTAAAGGCACTGAGAGTAGCGGCTGTATCAGTTACTCTTCTGTGGCTATGATAGAACACTAAGACCAAGGCGGCGGCACAGAGGACCGAATGTATCTGGGCTTAGGGTCCAGAGGATTAGAGTCCCTCATGGCAGAGAGGCAGCAGGCATGTAGCTGGAACAGCTAAGAGCACACGTCTTCAACCTCAAGCATGAAGCGGAGAGAGCAAACTGCAAATGCCTGTAAACTCTCAAAGCTCACTTCCAGTGACTGACTGGCTTCTTCAGTGACTGACTGGCTTCTTCAGTGACTGACTGGCTTTTTTAGTGACTGACTGGCTTCTTCCAGTGACTGGCTTCTTCAGTGACTGACTGGCTTTTTTAGTGACTGGCTTCTTCCAATGACTGGCTTCTTCAGTGACTGACTGGCTTCTTCCAGCAAGGCCACATCTTTTAAGCCTCCCCAAACAGTACTGCCAGCTGGGGATCAAGTGTTCAAATATTAAAGGCTATGGGGTACATTTGTCACAGTACTACCGCAGTAGCACATGCCTATAATCCCAGCCCTTGGCAGGCAGAGGCAGGAGGATCTCTGTGAGTTCCAGGTCAGGCAGATCTATATAGGGAATCATAGCTACATAGTGAGACCCTGTCTCAAAAAAGTTGCTGGTCTCAGTAGCACACACCTATAATCCCAGCATTGGGAAGTGGAGACCTCGAATCCCCTTGGCTGTTGACCTGTGCGATGGGCTCTAGGCTGGTAAGGGACCTTGTCTCCAAAAAGAAAAGTCACATGATGCCTGAAGAATGACATGCAAGATTGTCTTCTGACTTTCACAAACACATACATGTGCATGCGTGCACAGGTAGGCACATACCCACCCACCCATGAAATGTTAACTGTTGATAACCATTAGATCAGTTCGCTGAATGAGAAGGTGCTTTGGGCATTGTTGCTGGAGAGGTCTGGGGGGTCTTGAAGTTGACTACTAATCTCTGCGACTCAGGGTCTCACTGTTGTTCCTTTGGTTTTGGACAGAGTCCAGAATGCAGGCTATTCTGTGAGCCGGCCAGAAGGGGACACAGGAAAATACAAGTCCATCCCTCACCACCATCGCGGGGAGGTCCAGTTTCTTGGCAGGTTGGTGCTGTTTCTTGGTCCTCAGGGCAGCTTTCAGCCACTTCCTTTCCTCCCCTTTCTCAGCCAGGCCTGTTCTGTTGCTGTTGTCGTTTTTTTAGGTGGTATCTCTGTAGCGTGGCCTGGCCTCCAGCCCTCCATCCTCCTGTCTTTGACCCTCTCAGAGCTGGGATCACTGGCTGCACCGCCCCTTTGCCCCAGTGTGTGGCTGGGTGGCACGGGTGTGCATCTGTTTTGATTGGCCAAGGTAGAGTTTCTAGGTGACCATTCGTGAGATGTAGATACTTGGATCTCCTCTGCAAGCAGAGTTGGGGTCACCTTCTGCTAACCTCTGTGCTGTGACGGTCTCTACAAGGGAGTGGCAGGGCGCTAAGCCTGACTACCATTTGCTCTCCTCTGCAATCTCGGGCGTCCCAAGTCTAACGTGGGATTTCTCTCTGGAGCCTCCATTTCCTCGGGCCTAAGAGACATTAGATGAGATACTGTAAGGCTGGCCCAGGCAGCTGCCCTTGACTTGTGAGGCTGGATGTCAGCTCTGATCCCTCTCTGTCCCCGGCTTCCCAGGTACGCTCTCCTGAGGAAGTCAAAGGAGCGGCAAGGACTGGACGGTCTCAACAACCTGAACTATTCTGCTAATGTCACATACGACGCCTTGTATAAAAACATAACTGTCAACTTGACACCCGAGCTGGCTCAGGTGACTGAGTACTGAGATGGGTAGAGAAGCCGCACACGCCTGCCCACTGCTCCCTCCCTCGGATGGCTGTGATGCGCCATCCTGGGGCTCAACACAGGAGGACAGAAGAGACCATAGGGTTCCAGAAGACTGTCCCAGCCCACGAACAAAGGCCTTTGCTGTGGGGCCCAGCAGGAACAGGAGACTTGAGGACACCTATCATCAGCACTGGCTTCTGTTCTGCAGGAAAGGTGTCCGCCCTGCTGCTCGTTCCGTCCCACCCAGGTCCTGTCTCAGCTGCAGCCTCTAGAATTGCAGGGCCAGGCTTGGTGCCCCTTGGATAGGTGGATGGCCAAGCCTGGAGGCCGCCCGCCATGGCCAGCCACCCTGGCCTGAAGCAGATGGCCTGAACGCCGGGCTCTGCATCTCTGCAGTTCTTGTTGGTTTTCATTTGGCTTAGTTTAGGGTGTTTTTTGTTTTGTTTTGTTTTTTTGTTTTTGTTTTTTGGTTTTTTTTTTTTTTTTTTTTTTTTTTAGAAAAAGAAAAATTTTCTGCTCTGGGTGGGGACTGAGGGTGGAGGGAGGGACTTGGGATGATAGGCACATGACGGCCACTTCTTGAAGAAGTGCAGTTGTACATAAGCCATGTAAAATGCCTTTTTAATTTTATAGCCAGCTCCACTTCACAGTGAGGGCTGAGTGTATTAGATCACCTTGGGTGGCAAACAGCTCAGTTCCTACACACTTGAGTATCATCTCCCAAGGCCCTGTCATCTGAGAAGGAAGTCACTACAGCCCCTCTTCTCTGCCCTGCCCCTCCTTTCCTGTCCCCTCCCCTCGCCCCAGGGTCTTCCTCCAGGAGACTCAGCAGCTAAGCTGGAACTGCTGTTAGGGGCCCAGAGCTCTCCCCTCTTACCGAGCCAGCCGGGCTGTGTAGGGGGAGGGGAGGCAGAGGCCCAGGGCTCAGGCTTATCACTCCAGTGTGGATGGCAGGGGCTGGAGACCAGGAGATTGGAGGCCAGTGTGAGCTATGTCGCAAGTTCCAGGTCAGCCTGTGCTGTGTAGCACACTCCAGCTCTCTACGCCGTCTCACACACAGAGTGGCTGTTGGGTGACTGTTCTCTCTTCTTTCTTTGGAACTTGGCCACAGTTTCTCTGGGCTGTGCCTGCATGACCAGCTGCCTTCAGTGATTTCTCCAGTTCTCTTTTTAGTTTCTGGGAAGCTGCTGTGCTGTGCTAAGAAGCAAGCGGTTGGGAGGGGCTCAGCCGGGAGCAGGTGGCCTTGGGGTGAGCTCTCAGCAGAGATTTGACCGGCAGCCCAGCAGTCTCCCCTGCTTCCTGACAGGAGTTTCTTTAAGTGCACTGAAAAGGGCACCTCCTTCTGAGCCAGGGCTCCTTCCTGTGTCTGCCTCCGCTGCAGCCCTGTCCCTAAAGCAGGGACAGTGTGGTGAGGATCGCTCTCTCTGGCCTCTAGTTCTTTGCCTCTTTGCCTTCAGCGCCCTTGATGTTCATGGTTTACATGGGTGGGGGTGGGGTGTAGATACGTGGGGGTGGGGTTTTGCATCACACAGTTGGTTCTGAGGACAGATGATCCCCCACAGACTGTGGGAGTGATTGGCCAGGCCTTGTTTTTTTTTCTTGTTTTTTTGTTCTTTTTGTAGACTAGAGTGGTATCTGGGGAACAGATGGCATTGCAGAGTGCTTCCCGCTCGTATGAGAGAGCAGGTGCCTGCCCTTGAGAGCTGGTGAGCCTCGTCATCTGTTTGCACTGGCAAGGAGCTGCACTGCTGCGTTGACTTGCCTTTGTCTTACGGTACACACAGCAATAAAGATTGGGTTCCACGCGTCCCCACCCTTTGCCTACCTTTGTTAATGTCACAGTGCTGGCAATGAGGCCCATGGCCGCCGTGCTAGGCAAGTGCCCTGCCACTGAGTCCCGGGCCCAGCCCTCTCCCCTCAGTCTTCTGATCCACATTGAAGGCCAGGAATGTTTTCACTGTGGTAGAGCCATGGTGTCCTTTGGAAGGACTTCCAGGGAGAGACACAGTGCACATGGCTTGTGTCCTGGCTGAAGCTCTGCGTTCACTCGCACACCAATCCCAGGGTACTGTTTTAAGCCAAAGGCTGATACTTGATTGAAGAAGGAAAATGCAAATTTGGGGACAAAGAGAAAGGTCTTTTTCCTGCTCAAGTAGGGTCGCTTCTGTTCTATTGCAATCATGTCCAAGTTTGTTGTTAGTGTGGGCTCTTGTGAGTACCGTCAGTCATTGGTCACCCAGCCACGTACCGAGTGAGAAATGTCACAGAGCCATACCACTGGGCCACACGTTAGGTCACTGCTTGAAGAAAATGACCGTGAGAACCGAGTGTAACCTTGCACTTTGGCAGCTGAGATGACTGAGTGCTGCAGATGAGTGACCCTTAAGCTGACCTGCCCTTGCCTGCCCACCCTGTGTGTACAAGGCCCCTCTCCGCACAGGGTTTCTTGGGGAAGGGGGCAAATTGCAAAACTTTAAATTTGCTGAAACGGAGACTCTGTCATTGCTTCCCTTCCTCAGAAGACAGCAGCAGAGACGCGTACACACTGACGTACCCACCACCAACGAGGCACTGGCACAGCTTTTGCCATCACTACTGTCTCTGTTTTGAGCTTGCTCTTTGTTTTAAAAGGTGGCAGGGGTACATTTTTGCACTGAAACCTAAAGATGTTTTAAAAACACTTTTCACAGAAATAGTCCTTGTCATTACATTGTTCACTCATGTGTTTGTACATTTTTGTATGTTAATTTATGAATGATTTTTTCAGTAAAAAATACATATTCAATAACCAAACCTTGGTGGTTGTCTCTGTGTCTAACTGCCTTTCAGGGAGGTTCCCCCTCCTCTGTAGATCTGGTTCCAGAAGATTCTTGGTGGGCAGTCCTGGGTCGCTTTCTACCAGATTCCGCTCACATTGTAACCACAAACTTAGAAATCAAAGGTTTGTCATTCCCAGTGTGTGTGATTTTTGACTTATTTTCCAGTCTCCTGTAGCCCAGGCTGGCCACAAGCTTGTTCTGTATACATACTCGAAGATGATCTCGAACTTCTGGTAGATAGGCACCACCAAGCCCAGTTCGTGTGGTGCTGGGATTAGCATCCAGGCCTTCATGCGTGTCAGCCAGCTCTTCCTCAACAGAGCCCCAGCCCTGTCTGTCTGCCCTCCCTCCCCCCCCCCCTCCCCCCCTCCCCCCCTCCCTCCCTCCCTTCCTTCCTTCCATGGGTACAGATGTTTTGCCTGAACGTCTGTGTCCAACCTGTGTGCTTGTGGCTTGGGGCCCATAGAAGCCAGAAGAAAGCTCTTACCTAGAACTGGGTTAAAATGATCATGAGCCACCATGTTGTTGGTGGGAATTGATCCAGATTCTTCGAAAGAGTAGTCCGTGCTCTTAACCACTGAGCTATCTCTCTACCCACCCACCCCCGATCCCCACCCCTACCCCCCAGTATTCTCTTTACAATAGGGGACACAGCCCTGCATCTAGGCACTGCCAACAAAATAAAGAGACCTCAGAGCAAGCTCTCTGAGGAGGCTAGGAAGCCACTCTCAGTCCACGGAATGTCCTGGGGAAGGCTGCTGGCTGGTCCTTACTTGGTCAAGGTGGAAGACTTTTGAGGTGGAACTGGAGAGCTGGGTGAGGGAAGCCAAATGCTCACAGCAACAGAACACAGGCGAAGCTCAGTGGGACCCGTGGGACAGGCTGGGCACACACTAAGAATGATGGAGTCAGGGCTGTATACGGTGGGACTTCACACAGTTTCTAGGGATGTCACCCGCTGCGGGCAAGGGTGAGGAGCAAAGATGTCAGGGTGGTGAGGCGTGATGGAGGGAAGAGGCTAGGGTGGGACCTCGGGCCTGGAGGATGGGGAGTCCATAGGGGCTGCCAGCTTCCCCACTGTGTACAAGGGACTGGAGACAACCGAGCAAAAACACCAGGTGGGCAGTTGTACCATCTGGTGAGGGCATCAGGGAAAGCCATCCAGGCATGGTGGATCAGTTCCTTGGGGGAGTGGGGTGCAGGGGTGCTGAGAACAGGACTCATACAGTGGGGGTTACAGAAGACAAGATGGATCTGGGTGGGATCTGTGGGGCTGACAGCAGGAAGCATGGAGCTGTCCTGCACCCCTGAAGAGCTGTGGCTTCAGGGGACACAGGACAGGGAAAGTTGGGCATTTCAAGAATTATTGAATACAGTCTAAAGGTGAACTGAGTTGAAGAGTGGAAAATGGAGTGGTGGAGTAACCCAGGTACTGCGCTCTAAGGAAGGCGGCAGGAAGACTCGGGGTGCTGGCCCGGAGAAGCCAGCTGAGCACAGCAGGGGCAGTCTCCATGCCAGTGGGAGGGGAGTCATCCTGCTGGCCGGTGTGATGGTCTGTGACAGTCTGTGACAGGCTCCATTCCTACCCCACCCAGCAGAATGACCTTCACCTGGGAATGTTCCCCAGTAAGAAAGCGGCCTGGGGCGCCCTGTTTGTGCAGAACATGCTGTGAAGATGTCTCCATCCCTCCTTTCTCCGGAGAAGTGTATCTCATCTCCATGGTTCACTTAACCTTCACCTGCGTCTCCTGTGGGGCCAAGGGTGGGGCCAACCCTGTGCTTCATTATGGGTGTTTTGCAGCCTCTGCCGCTAAGTGGCAACCTGAAAGTCACTACACTTGAAATGACTCAGTAGGCGATTGCTTTAGGGAAGTGGAAGCCAAGGAGGCTGCTTTGAGGTCAGAAAGTAGTTGCCCAGCAGCGCCCCGGGGGAAAGTCCGAAACCGGAGCAGGGGCTTTCCCAGCTGCTCTTTGTTGTGGGCTCTTAAAAGCTTTTCCAGGCCTAGCCTAAAAGTAATTTATTCTAAAAGCAATAAATGAGTTTATGGGTGTGTGTGTGGGGGGGTGAATTCCCCCTAATAGTTTGCCTACATATTTGCATGTGTTGGGAATCCATTTATGATTTATAAAACGCCGTTGCTGGTCCATTACCTTATGATTCTACAACTGCTTTCTGTAGGGCCAAGTGTCACCTCCCCTGAGAGTCCTGTGTGAACACCCAGGCTCAGGCACCACTCTCCCTCTCTCTGCTCCATTTTGCTTCTCACACAGTTAAGGACAAACCCCTAAGATGTCCACTACATATCAAAGCATACTCTGGCTGCGGGTTCTCCCAGCATCCACCTGCTGGTGCGTCCTCCTGGCTGGCGTATCCCAAACTTCTCCAGCCAGGTACTGGGCTTCTCTTCCCCCAGCGTCTCTGATTCCTATATAACCTAGACATTTTGGTCACTTGAGCCTTTTGGCCTTTTGGCCTCTTGGTCTCCTGGCTCTCCGCTCCCCCTTATCACATGGTGTGGCTTGGTCACGTTCACTCTGGACTCTGCGGTGTCTCTGCCTCAGGCTATGCTCTCCCTTTTATGTACAATAAACCTCCACCATACTAGGAGCAGTCG